GCTGGCTGAAAGCAGGTATCTGGGGTTTATTTACCTTCTATAATTGAAACTTTGTTGCTTTCAGTGGAGCTCAGAGCCGGGCTGCGGCAGGTGGGGAACCTTGGCTTCCTCCATCACTGGAGCAAGCAAGCCTCCTGCTCGCTCCAGCTCCGTGGCTGCTGGCCGCCATCTTGGTTGTGTTAATTTGCATATAGTCGCTCTGATTGGCTGGTTGGCGTAGCTTAAGGCATAGTGAAAGTACGGTCAATTTGCATGATTGTCTCTTATTTGTATAGGATGTGGATGGAGATTATCAGTCAGAAATGTGACTAGAAAGAATTTGGGATCTCTTCTCTGACTCTTTTCCTTAGGAAAATTTTTCCCCACTCTCTTCAGCAGCCATGGTTCTGTGGCTGAAGTTTTCTGGTTCCTTTGACCAAGGAGAACTTTGTTTTCCACCAGGTTTTACTTAGCCCCAGAATAAAAGTTCTAATATTGATGAACTTAAAACTTCTTTTACAAACTAGTAGTCCTTTCCTTTGAGTGTGTACTCCGCCATGAGAGTTGATCTGTTTCTTCCACACTCTGCCTTGCTTTTTGTAATTTGCCTGGGTTTTATAATTGTATTCTGTGGAGAATCCTCTGATAACTGGATTGTATTACTAACTAGAGGCCCAGTGCATGAAAACTCTTGCACTGGAGGGGGTGGTCCCTCAGCCCAGCCTGCCCCCTCTCATATTTCAGGAGCCCTCCAAGGTGGGAGGTGACCCGGCTATCAGGGGAAGGTGATGCCCCATCACACCTCTGCTTCTGCCACTGCCGGCAGCACAAGCCTTGACCAGCCCTGTTTACCTGAGCCTTGGGTGGCCATTCACGGCTTACCTGTGCCTCGGGCATTGGCTGGGCAGCTGCCATTCAAGGCTTGCCTGTGCTTCGGGCTGGTCCTGGGCAGCTGGGGGACTGAGGGGACTGAGGGACTCCAGAGACAGGTGCCTGCCTGCTGCCCCAGTGGGGCTGAGGGGATTGGGCACTGTCATTTTGTGGCTGTGGGTGCCACCATCTTTGAGGGTGTGGTAGTCAATTAGCATATTCCCTCTTTATTGGCTGTAGGCGCTGCCATCTTGCGAGGGTGTGACGGTCAATTAGCATATTACCTCTTTATTAGATAGATAGCGTAAAAGCTATTACAATGGGTTTTATGAATGAATGACAAAATGTTTGGTCATTTTTTATGCTTTAAAATGCTTTATTGTTATTAAAATATAAAGAAAAGCTCACAAAATATAAAAGCACAATTTAATAAATAATTATAAAGCGAGCACTTTTGTGGCATATGGCCCCATCCAAGGCAACAAATAGAATTTTGCCAGCACTCCAGAAGCACTCAACCTACCATTCTCCCCCAACTTCTCTTTCCCTAGGTAACTGTTACCCTTACCTTTTGTTTATTTAAACTACTAGGGGCCCAGTGCACGAATTCGTGCACCTCAAAAGGAACTGAGGGCCACGAGGCTGCGGTGGGCACAGGGGCAGGTCTTGGCCCATCCTCTGCGTCCCCGCCTGGTCTCTCCCGCTGGGGCCCTGGTTCCCTGTCTGCCGGCAGCCCTGCTCCCGTGGCTGCCGTTCCCACACACTGACGGTGCTAGCCCAGCTTGCACCCTCTGACGGCGTGGAGCGATTGGGGCCATTGCCAGCAGTGGGTGCGAGTGTTACTGGTGCCGACAGTGGGTGCGAGTGGTGCGTGCGAGTGGTGCTGCTGCCCTGATTGTCTGGGGGAGGTGGAGAAGCCCTCAGGGGCGTTCGGGGCCGGCAGCTGCTTCACACCTGCTGACAGTGCGAAGCAATCAGGACCAGCGCCACATACAGGCTGTGGGTGTGAGTTGGGCCGGCGGTGGCAGTGGGTGTGAGTGGCAGCTCCGGTGCCAGCAGCGGGTGCGAGTGGGGCCGTTGCTGGCAGCAGGTGCGAGAGGCGGCTACTGGCCCTGATCGCCCCTCAGGTGCAGGGAGAGGTGAAGAAGCCCTGAGGGTTGATTGGGGCTGGCAGCTGCTGCTCGCACCCACTGACAGTGCCGAGCGATCAGGGCCAGTGCCGGGTGCCATCAGTAGGACTGCAGTGCACAGGAGCAAAGAATTTTCAGTAACCACCAGAGGCTCACCCTCATGACAGCGACTGGTGCCCCACTGTGGTCTGTCGCCCCGCTCACCTGCTCCACCATCCCACCCCAGCTGATGCCTGCCATGTTCCGCGCTCTGCCGCCTGATGCCGACAACCACC